TAAGGTTTTATTTAGGACTACTTTCTCTTTGCTTCTTAAAGCACAGATATATTACAAAATTTAAAAAAGTCGTCCCAAACGAAGCCTAAGAAGCAGTGAATAGCCATCCCCAATAAAATCTTAGGCTTTTTTTGGGACGACTTTTTATGGTTTATTAAAACATCTTTTTAGCTTAAAAATTAAAATTTTTATAAAAAAAAATTGCTTTAAGAAGAAGTAAAAAAATTGTCTCAAACCAAGCTTTAATCTCTGAATCATTTCTCCTTAACAATAATTACAAACTGTACTTCAGATCGAGAATATACAGAAGGGGAAGAAAGAATTGAGGTCAACATCACAAAAATTTCAGAGGTGCAGTAAAGGGATGGCATCAACCCTCATCTTCTTCTCCTTCGTTGATGAGATCATTGATTCTTCCCTCTTTCTCTTCGTCTCCAATGTCGTCTTCGAAGATTGTACATTCATAATGATGTCAACCTCAAATTTGTCACCATCCAGGAGAACTCTCTCCTCTGAATTCCTCCCGTTCACGCCGATAAAACTCTCTCCTTTGAAACCCTTGTGTGGTCTGAAGGGCTTCTCCGAAGACGAAGGATCCGGATCTTCAGAAGCGAAAACCTCCTCTGGATCTTTATTGAGGTCGATGATAATTCCATCCTTGCGTCCTTTGAAAGGATTCTCCTCACTAGGGTGGTGAGCGGGAGGAGAGATAGAAGACGGCGACGGGGCCACCATGAAATCATGGTGGTGAAAATAAGAGTTTGAGCGGGGGAAATGAGGCCGGCGGGGCGAGGATCGACTCCTTTTCGTATTCCAGCTAGGGAATGCCGACCTAGGATTCCGGCGATCGAATCGGGGAATGAGGTCGACGAGTTCAAGTAGAATGTTTGCGATCTTGATCTCTTTTCTTGTGAATTTGGCCATGAGGCAATCTCCCACGAGAAGTAAATTCAGATCTTTGTTTCTGAGATGAGAAAGAAGATTTGAAGCGGTGAAGGAGAAAATATTGATAAGTGAGAATGACGAAATAAGATGGCGAGAGATGGTTTTATATGATGAGTTGAGTAGTTAACGGATATTTTAACGGATTAATAGCCATTGAATAGTTCCTCAGTATCTCCGAACAATTCGGATATTAAAAGACAAAATGGAATTAAGAAAATTAATATAAAATATCACTGAGGTTTGATCGTTTTTGGACGATTTAAGTATTAAAATTTGAAATATTTAACTACTTTGTGTATTTGCCACAATAAAAAGTATATAAATGTATTATATAATCAATAAATGACCGAAACAAACAGTTCACTCCAAAAAATTTAGGTTTGGATATGAAATTTTAATATGTTTATTAAATGGGTCAATCGTATTCATGTTATTTTTTTTGCCAAAAAATGACCCATTAAATATTTATTTTTTAAAATTATTTTGCTTGTGGATATTGTCTTATTATTTTTGATCAAATACACTAAATTCTATAGTTGATAAGTTATACTTTTTTTGATTATTTGAAATCATTATTCTCCATTTATTTTCATTCTTATGATTTACCATATCTTCACTAGATGCTATTTAAACAATCTTTTAATATACTTATTACTTAGACTTCGTTTGAGACGAATTTCTTATTGTTTCATAAAGCAACTTTTTAGTACAAAAGTTTTAATTTGTTAACTAAAAAATTGCTTTAAGAAGCATTAAAAAATCCGCCCCAACCAAAACCTTAATCTTTTCTTCCTTGTTTTGCCAAACATATAATTTAACAATATTCTCCTTTCCGTCAAACTTAACTATTTGTGATATTTTTATCCGAATGTTTATGTTCATACAGGACAACTAATGTAATTGCAAATTTATAAAATGAACTTTTAATATTCATTAAATTATTCAATAATATTCTTAATCATTAAACATCCATCCTTAGGAGCTTAATTAGTCATAGAACTTACATGCTTTTAAATAAATCTATCAAACTAACTCACATACCATTAGAGTACGTCATTTTCTTGATTTACATTTTGCTATTCTTAAACATTTTATCATCCAATAGATTTCTCCTTTGTTATTGATTTTAATCGATCGCACACTAATTGTGACTTCGTTTGGGGCGTCTTTCTTACTACTTTTTAAAGTAGTTTTTTAGTACAAAAATAAATTTTTTTCTACTAGAAAATTGCTTCAAGAAGTATTCTCTTTATATTAGTAAGAAAGATGCCCCAAACGAAGCCATAATGAGTGTTTGAATTGAATATATATCTTTGATGCATTCTCATTGTAATTGAATACACTTTATTCAACTCCAAATGTAACACTTAATGCCCCTTTGTCACATTTCTTTAATAATAACTTAAGCATTCCCTTTATATTAGGAACTTTTATTTGGTCCGATAAAAGGACGTAGAGCTACGTTCGGCCGGCACTAAATCGCGCCACGTAGCAGGCACAAAACCACGTATTTGTCGATTTTGCTCGACAATAACGAGAAATAACATTATGTGAAGACAAATACCGAGCAATACGAGTAATATATACCGATCAACACCAAGTAATACCGAGTTTTTTCTAGAAAAAACTCGGTATTACTCGGTATTGGTCTTCACAAAGCGGAATTTCTTGTTATTTCCAAGCAATACCGAGCAAATACCGGGTAACTCAGTGGTGACCAAACGTAGAGCTACATCCGGTCACCGGACCTAATAATTGTTCGTATATTAGGGGTGTAAATGGGTAGAGCTCGAGGGAGTTGGCAATTTTTTTGAGTTTTACTCATTTAAAATTTACTTTATTTGTATTCGACTCATGTTTAAATAAGTTTGTGTGTGTTTGATACTGACTTGTATTTTCTTAAGATCAATAAAAATCATATGAAGATCATTTTTCTATTTTCAATACTTTTTCTATTTAGCTCATGGTATTCTCTTTTTTTTTTTCTATTTAAAGGCAGATCTAAATATCTAATAATGAAGTCATCAAGGATGAATGGTTTTAAACTAATCGAAGATCCTCCAAATAGAGTATTTATGAAGAAGTTTGTAGCTTTATTTACGGTGTTCCAGCTAAAATTCGAGAACAATGAGCAAGAATCAAATTACAATATTCCAAAAGGATTATTAAGATTTTAAATTCAATAAAACAATCTATTAGATGAATTTGAAATTTTTGAACAAATAAGTAACCGAGGTTTTGGTATAACTTTTTTTTTTCCCTTGTTTCTTATAAGACTTCTCCTTTGAGGGAAAAATATTTCATGAAAGGTAAAAAAATAAGAAATTTTGGAGTATAGGTACAAGAACAACGTTAAACTTTTATCCCACTAATTGGTGTCGACTAAATGAATCTATTTTATGTATTATGTTTTATTAAGAGTAAAATTTTAATTTATGGCTCCTTCTCGGACAGTTTTCTAGTACAAAATTTTTTAAATTTGTAACTTTTGTAATAATAAAAAAGCTTTTCTAAACGAAACCTAATTCTAATAAAAAAAGTCATGTGCTATACTTTCTAACCAAGCATGTTTTGATCTAAGTCCACCTTTCTTAATCGAAGATGAATTTAATACATTTAGTCATTTACACTTTTAATTGGGTCATCAAAAGATTGACTTTTTATATGACCATTTCATTTAAGACGACTTTCTCTAATCTTTTCTGCAATTGTGTGTGTGTGACTTAATTTAGTTGGAAATAATTATACTAAGACTTCTTTGGTTTGTTTGCAACTTTTCATAAAATTAGTTGTAAAGTTGCAGTGGAGAAAATAACTTAGGTTTTATTTTGGACTGCTTTCTTATTGATTCTCAAAGTAGTTTCATAGTATTAAAATTTTAATAAAAAATTGCTTTAAAAAGGAGTAAGAAAACTGCCCCAAACGAACTCTTAATTAACCACTCTAGTCGTAAAAAGGAGATTTCCAGCATGCTAAGTTATGAATATCAGTGAGAAAAAATAAAAAATGAGTAAATAAATGAAATTGTGATTATTGTATGAAAATCAAACAGACAGAAAACTATCACAAACATACTCCAACAAAAAATATTACAACTATAGTTTTGAAGGCTCTTTGAAAAATGGAAGATTAAAAATAAAAAATTTGAACTCACTTATTATGAATTTCAGACGTCAATAAAAAGGAAAAGAAAAAAAAAAGCTCAAATTTGTGAGAATACATTGTCAATGACTGCTCTTTCTAATTCTTTCTTCATTTGCTTACAAGTTTATTTTTCATCAATTAGTATATTAAAAAGAAAATAATCACAAATAATGCTTGTGAACAAAAACTAATTATTATTCTTACTTAATTTTAAAATGTTTTATAATAATTGTAATATTCATTATTTAGATACTATAATAGATTAAATCATTAAATTTAGGATACATATTAATGAATACTTAGTTTAATTTATTAAAAAATTATCATATTTGAAATTAAATTAATAATTAATGTCCATAATATTTTTTTGGTCTTTGCCAAATCATTAGCAAAGAAAATTCATTTTTAATTATTTATTTATATTAACTAATTATAGAATATATTGACTAATTAACTGTAGATTATAAGATATAATAATTTCTAATTTTCAAATTGATATTTCTTCTTATATAATATTTTAATGATGTAATACACTTGGTTTATTGAATATTTTAAATTTAAAATGTTTTAATAATTGGAAAAGAAAAATGAATAACAAATTATTTATTTATATTAATTAATGAAGAGAGATTGCAATAATTGGAAGAGTAAATTGGTCTGACTTTTTTTATGATAATGTTAAATTTTTTTCATTAAAACAAATTTTAATGAAAAAAAGTTTAGAAGTTTGGAGATTGAAACAATTGTAATATTGGGCCGGGCCGAGCTGGGATTTATTTGCAGTCTAACATAGTGGAAGCTTCTTACTTTTTTTTTACAATTGTAATATTGGGCCGGGCCGAGCTGGGATTTATTTGCAGTCTAACATAGTGGAAGCTTCTTTTTTTTATTTTATTTTAATTATTGTCCTTTATCCAGTGGAATGGAGCATTCCCACGTCACAGCAGATAACGTCTCTCCTCTTCCCGTCCTCGCATTCCATCACTTCATCAATCAACGAAGGCCCCACCGCCGCCGGTCAATACCTCCACCGCCGAGCTCTGGCTATAATGGCTGCCACCGCTGCAGTATCCATCTCCTGTTTTTACTCCTGCACATCTCGCCGGCACCTCCTCTCAATCCCCGTTATCAAATTCACCGGCCCTCGATTTCCTTTTTCGTCCCCCGTCTGCCACTTCACTGATCAGCTTTCAGTCGCTTACGTTGAAAATAGAAGAAACCTTCTGAAAATTACAGCCGCTATGACGCAAGGGGAGGTAGAAACCGAGACAGAGGTAGCTCAGGCAGAGGCCATGGCGCGGCTGCAGAATACCAAGCTTTACTTTGGGAATATTCCTTACAACTGTGACAGTGAGCAGCTTGCTGGTGTTATTCAACAACATGCCAGCCCTGAAATGATTGAGGTAAGTACAAAATTTTTTCATTTGTTTCCTCTGTTCTGCACTTCTGCCATGAAATTCAGGTGATATATTAGCTGATTAATCAGTCATGATTGTATTAATTTGAAAGCAAATTAACATTTTGATTCAAAATTTTATCTATTTTATAACTAGAGATTGATTGAGGCTAAGGCTTCCTTTCTTATTACTTATTGAAGTAGCTTTTTTTAGTAAAAAAATATATTTTTTTTCTTAAAAAAAGTTGTTTTAAGAAGCAAAGTCTTCTCAAATGAAGCCTAAAGATCTGTTTGGGATATTTTTTGAGATGCTTTGCTTTAATAAATATTAACAAGTTTGGCCATTTTTAGAATGAATTGTACTTGGAAACTTGTCAGGTGCTCTATGACAAAGAAACAGGAAGGAGCAGAGGGTTTGCAGTTGTTACCATGAGCTCCATACAAGACTGTGAAGCTGTCATCTCCAATCTTAATGGATTTGTTGAGTACATCTTCTTCTCATACATGTGCTTACCATAATAACCATACAGATGCATTTATTTATTATTGGTTGGGAAAACGTTCACAATCATCCTCAAATTATCCATGTATGATGAATTTAATTTTAAAATATTTTTTTTTTTCAATTTAGACTTTGTTTGGTATTGCTTTCTTAATGCCTATTAAAGAAGCTTTCTAGTAAAAGATTAAAATTTGTGTGCTAAAATGCTGCTTTAAAAAGCAGTAAGAAAGCCGTCTCAAATAAAACCTTAGTACAACGATTCAGATTGATCTTAAATGGTCCCTCAAAGATTAAATTACATGTGATCAAATTTATATAGTCAAAGTGATAAATTGAGATGTCTATAACCCCCTTTTTTTTATCAATTTATACCCGGGGTACCATTTGAGATTAATTTTGTATAGTTTAAAGATTAAGGCTTAGTTTGGGATGACTTTCTTACTACTTCTTAAAGTAGTTTTTTTATTATTTTATAAAAATGCTATAGAAAAAGTAAGGCTTTATTTGAGACAGTTTTCTTATTATTTTATAAAGCTGCTAAAAAAAGTAATTTCTTAAAGCTGATGTAGAAAACAATTTTTTATTACATAAATTTTTTGAAATCATTAATAATATAGTGACCAAATAAAAATTATAATTACGGTATGAAAAACAAAACATTAAAAAAGCTATCTCCAACAAAACCTGAATTAAAGAAATACAACACATTGAAGTTAATTTGGTCACATAGAAATATATAGTCTGAGAATTACTTCAAAGATTTTTCTGAATCACAGAAGTAAAGTTCTGAAGGAGAATTTTTTTATTATTATTATTTCAGGAATATGATGGTCGAACACTAAGGGTTAAATTCTCAGACAAATCAAAGCCCAGAGTGGCTCTATATGTTGAGAGCGAGTTCAAGCTCTTCGTAGGCAATCTATGCTGGTCAGTAACCTCAGAAGCTCTTAAGCAGGTTTTTAAGGATTACGGTAACTTGGTCAGTGCTCGTGTTATTTACGATGGCGAGAGCGGCCGATCTCGTGGCTTTGGCTTTGTTTGCTTCTCCACCAAGGAAGAGATGGATTCTGCCATGGAATCCCTCAATGGACTGGTAGGAAATCAAACTATAAACTATTAATGATCAATTTATAATAATTATTATTTTTTCTTTTATAAAAAATGTTTATTTAGTTATTTTAAACTGTTTTTTTTTTTATTTTTAAAGGGGATTTACAATTTACATACATACCACTTTATTTTATGTTATTTATATATATAATACCTAAAACTTTAATATTACATGTCTATCAACCATAGAATAAATATAAATGCATAGAATGAAATATTAAAATTTGTAAGGTGGTATGGGTGATAATAATGAAATATAAAAGTGATATATTTGATATTAAAATTTTATATTAGTGGTAGGAATGCAATATTACAATTTTAGGTATTAGATGTGTAAATAATATGAAATAAAATGGTATGTATGTAATTAAATCATGCCAACACAGTAATTATAAATAAATAAATAAATAAATAAATAATATTTTTAGAAGTCCAAACATGCATGCATTATTTTATTTTAAAATATAAATAAAGTAAAAATAAAAATAAAAATCCTAAATTGCCCCAAAAATTCCATTTGTTTCGTTGTTAGGATCTCTTTTATTTTTGTTTTGAAAAAAAAAATGTTTGTTTAATGTATTTTTAACTATGTTTATTTTTTACTTTTAAAAATAAATTAAGTATTTTTAAAAACCACTAAAAAATAACTTCAGGGCTTTTTTCAAATGTTTTTAAAAACAATTATCAACACCAGCTAATAACATTATTATCATCTATTATTGTAGCCGGTGAGCGCTGTCTACCACCATCATCACCTCATAGGCCATTATGGCTGACACATCTTCCATTTCCATCACAATAAAATAAATAAATAAAATAACATATTTTTAAGATATTAAGTATATTTTATTTCATATCAAATATAAATAAAACAAAATAATAAGATAATAAATTAAAAATTAAGATAGAACTAATCTCATCTTACTATTTATAAATTAAAACTTTTTAACTAAAAATTTGTTTTAAAAAACAGTAAGAGAGCTGTTCCAAACGAAGCTTAAATATAGTTGATTTGAGCTATTTAGCAATCGGTTTGAGTGAAAATTGAAATATGATGCAGTTATTTTATTTGTGTTTGCAGGAGTTGGAAGGAAGGGCCTTGAGGATAAGCTTAGCGTTAGGGAAGAAGACTTGATCGATAGGAAAAGGGCTTAAATGAGCAGCTTCCCTTGCATAAAATTGCTTGCTGGATATTAGAAAAGATAAGGGGAGTTCAAGTATAATCAATTAGGCTTTGTAATTGAGTTGGCCAGCTTGTGTAGCTCACAAATAATTATTAGCTATTATATATAAAATAATATCAATACAGATAATACCTACAAATAATAGAATTTACTAATTTAGGGCAGCAAGCATGAACTCTTACAAAGAATTATAAAAATTTTAATTCCTTTATTTTTCTCTAGTTATTTGTCTTTTTCTTTCTTCGCAAACAAAAATATAGATACAAAAAGAATAATTATAGAATAAGATGCTCTAAATTTTTAGTAAAATATAGGCAAAATTTTAAGAAGAATTGTGGGTAAATTTTAAATTATGTCAAGGAGCAAATTTTTCTAAAAAATTAAAAAGAATCGAACTAGTCAAACTGTTTGGCTAATTCTATAGAAAACGTCATATAGTTTGGCTTATTCTAAAATTTTTAAATGCATCTTTAATCAGCTAATGACATTGCTAATATGATTAGTGGAAATGTGGGTAGAATTAGCCAAACTATTTGGTGTATTCAGAATTAGCCAAATTAGTCAAACAGTTTGGCTAATTATATAGAAAACTCTAAATAGTTTGACTTATTCTAAGTAAGCCAAATTATTTGGCGTTTTCTATTGAATTAGCCAAATAATTTGGCTAATTTGCTTCCTTTAATTAAGATTTTTATGAAATTTTGTTCCTTCACATTATTTAAACTTTGCTCATGATTCTTCTTAAAAGTTTACCTAAAATATATTTGAGTACATAGATTTTTCAATATGATATATATTTTTTAAATTGCATATATTTAGCTCACTATCCAATCCCCTATTTATAAATTTAGATTGGTGCTTGGACATTATAGAATCATCTACATATATTATTATACATAAAACAAGAGCAGCTCGATCAAAATATCTGAATTGAAGAATTAGTTTGTTGAGCTGAGCTCTTAAAAGCTCTCTAGATTGACGTTTATTGGTAGTTGAATCGCTAAAAATTCATTTATGGGAGAATATGGTTACTTTTGTATAGAAACTTTTGAACATAAAAATAAATAAGCGTGACAGAAAGTTTGATATGAATTTTTTATTTAAAAAAATCATATGAGTTATCAGCTATATATAAATATGTGATTTTTTTTTCGAGATAATTAGATAAATGCCAATAAAATAATTTCAGTTAATGAGGTTGGCTTTAAGTTCGCCATTTTAGTACACAAAATTTTAATTTAAAATATTTTTATTAGAAAATTGCTTTAAAAAGCAACAAAAAATGAAATTCTTACGTGTAGTCACCGGATGCCGTCTAGAGCCCAATCAAGAAGCACAACACCACCAATTTATTACATATCGTTACTCTGTACAGCTGTGTATAAGGTGCCGTGGCCCGACTACGGTCATTCCAACCACCGTAGCCCGACTACGGTCCTTCCAACTTTTGTTGCCCGACTACATGCCTTTCGACCACTATCACCCGACTACGATCTTTCCTACCTATATCGCTAGCCCTCAAAGATCCTACTGACTAAACAAACATGCCAACATTCTCTTAAAAACAACCGTTATGTTATTCTCCAACTTTGTACTGTGCTCTATATAATGTATACATCGAGCAAGGGCCTTCCCTCTAAGGTTAGGCCTTACCTGCAATCTACAAACACTAGTGGATTCATTCAAATTGGGCCATGCCCTGTGGTTTTTTCCTTTTTAGGGGTTTCCATGTAAAAAACTCTGATGTCTCTTATGAATGCTACACCTCTACTGTTTATTTGTCTGTGTGTTGGATCTTTCTATAAAACTAGGATGTTAAATTTTATATTTCTATACCGCGACAAATATTCCAGGACGCAACAAGTGCGAAAAACTTTGATGATTCTCATTCATAAGTAATATTACATAAACAAAGTTCCCAATGAACATTCCATCACCCCATTCACATAGTCAATGATTGTCATTAAAGTTTAACGATGTTATGCTTTTGAAAAAGTTTTTGACTCTGATGATATTATGCATTTGCACTCTAAACCCTAAACACATAAGAAAGTAAGGCATGAGATGATTAGCTTGAACATTGCTCAAAACTTATTTCAACCTTGATCAAAACATACTCAACTCATGATTAAATATTGACAAAAAATTAGTTGATTATTGTTTGGATTTTGAAACCATGATTGAACAATTGCCAAAAAAAGATTCAAATATGATTCAATCAAGGTTTGGAATTGTTTTATGAAATGTTGTTTGGAAATACTCATAACAATGTTGATCAAGTTTAGATTAATCTTTTATGAGTTCGAGTTTACTATTTTGCATTCCATGTATTTTTTTTGGAATTGACTCATTAGAGCCATCTTCTTATGCATGCATACATATGCTCGAATCACATATATATCTGAGGGTATGATAAATAACATTATTAGATAATTTGAGGCTAATATCACCATTTTGTTGAAGAAAGGATTCATGCACATAATATTTACATATATTTAGATTTATAATGTGATCATAGCTATAGATAGTCATTACAATGCTTTTAATGGATGCTGTTGAAGATCAATACAAATATGAACTTTTTTATTCATTAATTATTTAAGAAATTTTAATTTTCATTTTTATCATTTCTTTACTATTCAGCTTGGTGCCATGTAATTAAAATTATAAATTAAAAATACCTATGCTATTGCTCGATCATAATGATTTCAAAAATGATAATCTTTGAGAGCACCTGTTATGAAATGGTTAGATTTGAGCAGTTTATTATGTGCAATTGTACTTAGTTGTATTTAGTTGTATTAAAATATTTATGTCAGGTATTATAATTGTTGCAATTGTACTTAATAATTTTTTATTTGCATAAATTGACTTAAAATAGGCTTTTAAAATGAATTTATAAGTATGTAATGATCAAATCATTTTAAATTTAATGAAAAAGGTATATGTTGCATCCTAGAATATTCACGGAAGTAGAAAAATATAAAGTTTAACGTATTAGGATTGTACAAAAATCCAACTTACTATCATAAGAGAGAGAGAGTATCGTTCACAAGAGACACTAGGGATGTTACGTGGAAACCCCTAAGAATAGGGAAAAACCACAGAGTCGATTACAAATGAGGCCCTTCATTTGCAGTTGGATTACAAATGAGACCCTTCATTGGAGGGAAGGGCTTGACTTGATATAACAAATATACATCACATAGAATTCATTACATGGTAGAAATTGGAAGAATCAGTACTGATATGTTTGTTTAGTTGGCAGGACTATAGCTGGTAGGCGATGGAGGTTGGAATGATCGTAGTCAGCATGAGATATGAGTTAAAAAGACTATTGTCTAGTGGTGGAGGTTGTAGAGCCGTAGTAGGCAACGAAGGTCGGAAGGTCCGTAATCAGTAGGAGACAGGGGTTAGAAAGATTGTTATCTGACGGTGGAGGTTGGAAAGACCGTAGTAGGCGACGGAGGTTGGAAGGACCGTAGTCGGCAGAAGTTAGCTAGGGGTTAGAAAGACCATTTTTTGGTGGTGGATGTTGGAAGGACAGTAGTAGGCGACGGAGGTCGGAAGGACAGTAGTCGGTAGGAAACAGGGGTCAGAAAGACCGTTGTCTGGTGGTGGATGTTAGAAGAACCATAGTAGGCGACGAAGGTTGGAAGGATCGTAGTTTATAAAGACAGGGGTCAAAAATCCCGTTGTCTGGCAGTGGAGGTTGGAAGTACTGTAGTAGGCGACGAAGGTCGAAAGGACTGTAGTCGGCAAGAGATAGGAGTCAGAAAGATCATTGTCGTAAGACAGCGTTCCGACGGGAGTTCGGGCTTCGAGTGGTGATCCGGCGGGACTCTGTGTATCAGGTGGTGGTCCAACGGAACTTCAACTTCAGGTGGTGGTCTGGCAGTCCGGCGGAACTCCAGGCTTCAGGTGGTGGTCTGGCGGTCCGGTGGAACTCCAGGCGGTGGTCGAGGAGGAGCGAGGAGGCAAGAACGATCTCCGATTTCTCTCTTGTTTGCTTTGGATTTGGGTCCTCCTTTTCAAGAGGAAGGAGGTGTCTATTTATAAATTTCCTTGAGTGGCATGTCACATAAATAGAAGGAAGATTAAGGACAAATGGGGAGTGGTTTGGATGCACGATCGATATTGAATTTCTTGATCATAGGTCATTTGCTAGCCATATGAGGGTCTTAATGTTGTTGGAATCTTGTGATTTTGGGCTCTTTGGATTTGTCTCGTCGAGCCTCTTAATTCGACTATAAGCATGTCACGTTTGGTAATCCAAATTGTGGTTCGAACCTTCTAACAGAACTTCAGGCCCTTGATTTGGACCCATTTGAGCTCGAATTGAGTTGAATTTGGTGTCGTTAGGTTCGTATTTCCGAGACGTTCAGTTTGACTATAAGTTTGCTGAAATCAGAGTTCGGAAGCTCCCAATTTTAATTTTGAAAGTTTCTAAGTTCCAACCTAATTTTTTCTCGAGATCCGTGACTGCTCAAGATAGTTTTTTGAGAGGATGCATCTGTATGATATTGATTTTTATCATTTTTTAAATTATGATGATACTATTATAAATAAAAATTGTTGATATTAATTTTATAAATTGATCAAATCTAAATTTATAAGTGCCCCTCTAAAAATCATTTATTTTGTTGATCAAAAGTTTTGAAAATTTGACCTTTTTTTTTTCATAAGAAGTGAAAATATGAAGGGAAATTTACATACATACAACTATATACTTATTATTTTACATATTTAATACCTAATACATTAATATTACACATATACCACTCAAATTTCTAATTTATATCATTTCTACCACTTCGTGTAACGCCTTCCTCACGACGTTTTCTGCCTTCCTCACGACGTTTTTCTGCCATTTTGTTGGACGCGATTCTGAGATAGTCAGTTAGGGCAGAATTGAACAGGAGTCGGAGCTCGCAAAAGAGGAGGAAGGTAAGTTCTCTTGCATTCTCTCATTTTTGTCCGAATCTGAGCTTGCAAAAGGGGACACGAATCTGAGATAGTCAGTTAGGGTATTCCTGATGCATTCTCTCAATTTCTTTCAAAATGATTTGTTTGCTCAAAGACTAGCTTCTTGTCCGAAACCTACCTGGTGTTAGCCGGACCTCCTTCAGGTTTTCCGGTCTTCATTCTAAGCTGTATGAATATGGTGGATAGGTTTGTCCGTCTTCATTCTAAGGTTTGTCGGTATACATTCTAAGGTATGAATCTGCTGGACTAGTGTCAACTTGTAATTAGATATATAATAGCAACTTATAGCAGCCATGAAGGAAATAAGGTTTAGGATGTTTGATATCTAACAACAACTTGTAGCAGCTAGGAGGCGGAAGACAATACCGTGAGGTGCGAAGAAAATGGGGATCTAATGACAACTCCTAGCAATTAGGACAATGCGATCAGGAGCTGTATCGGCCTCAGATGAAGGAAAATGGCGAGACATCCGACAAAGGTAATTTGTGAATTGTATCGGCAATGGGGATTTCGGCGGGAGTAAAGACGTCCGTCACAGGTGCGCAGGAAAATAGACGTCGTGAGGTAGGCGTTACACAAAGTGGTAGAAACGATATAAATTAGGAATTTGAGTAGTATATGTGTAATATTAATGTATGAGGTGTTAAATATGTAAAATAATAAGTATACAGTGGTATGTATGTATGTAAATTTCCCAAATATGATTAAGAATCTTTGAGGGTATTTACGTCATTTCAGAAAAAGAAAAAAATTGCCTTTCTATTTTTTTTTTTCAGCTGTGGCATTCCACTCTCCACAGTCCACAGCCAAACCCTTATCATCCGCATTAGCCCCAATAACTTTTCATCCTCAGAAGCAGGAGTGGAAGAATCACCATTCGCCATATGGCTTCAGCTTCGGCGCCGCTCGTTCTTCATATGTCCCCAATCCGCCGCCACTCCTCAACTATCTGCTCTCAATCGGAGCATCCGCTCATCCCAACCCGGCGTCTCGTCCTCTCATCTCCGGCGATCTTTCTCATGCTCTCATCCACGGCAAAAGCAGAGGATATCCCACTGTTCGGCCTTAGGAAGAAGCTGAAGAATCTCGAGGAGGATGCGGTGGAGGTAGTGAAGGAAGGGGAGAAAGTAGTGGAAGAAGGGATTGCGGCGGCGGAGAAGGAAGTGGTAGCGGCGGAGGAGGAGATCGTGGCGGCGGCAGCAGGGGTTGGTGTTTTTGGGGATTTGGCGCAGGCTGGGGTTGTGGCAGGGGCGGAGGTCGTTGGGGTTCTTATTGGCTTGTCCGTCGTTAATGGGATTCTTGAACCGGAAGTTAGATGATCTTGAAGGATAACAATTTGTGCTTGCTTTTTGTTTTTTTTTTCTTCAGTAGCATTTGCTCAAGTGCCATTAGTTGGCTTTTTCTCGCAGGAAATAAATTTTTAATCTTTTGTGCGGTTTTAATGGTTTTATGTAAATTACTTACATTATTTGAATGATTTTGTGAGCTTTCTATCCCCAGTTAGGCTCTTTTTAGGGTTCAATTCGGCGTATTTGAGAAGTCGACAGTCATTTAAATTTTCTGGATATTGATTGCGAGCAGGATTATATAAATTCGTTTAATTCAGCTAGTATTTATTTCATAGATATTTATACTCTGAATTTAAAAAAATGGAAATGGTTAAACGTTCTGCTTAGGATATTTTTCCTCACATAAAGGCAATTTTGATCTTCTTTCTTTGGCAGAAATTTCTTTTTTGTTCAAATTTTGATGTATGCTTTCGTTTAGGTTTACAATGAAGGGCCCTTGTTATTATTGATCGTCCATTTATTTTCAAGAATGGACTCCATTACTCGAGCTTGTTAGAGAGGATTTCAAAGAATATCTGATTAAGATCAAACTTCCGAATTTATCTTTTTGTTGTTGGACTGAGCAAGATATTTCTAAAATTGGTAATTCTAAATCCATACTGGCATTTATACAGTCAATATGCAAATTTTGTCCCCTTTGCCAGATCAAATCAACTTGCTGCTCAATTACTAAGAAATTATTTAGTTTGTTATTTATGAATGGAAATCCTCCCACCCAGCTGCACTGTGATATCTTTGCTCATGAAGGTTCTAATTGCCATAAGCTCCCCGCTTCGATCCCTCTGCAGACTTTCAGTAGGAGCAGAAGTGCAAGCGGAGATAGGCAAGTAATGAACTGCCAGGAAAGCCGATCTCTTTTTGAATCATCTTTCCCATACTCCCGACTTAAAGGCTGGCTTTGTTTGAGAGAGCTTTCTTATTTCTAGTACACAAATTTGTAGTTCAAAACTTTTGTGTTAGAAAGCTATTTTCGAAAATAGTAAGAAAGTTTAAAGTTATCCCAAACGAAGCCTAAATCTCCCAAAACCTCTCTCCCTGATCCCAATATCAACTCCTATCTTTCTTCCGCAAGTAGGTATATGATAGTAAACACTTGAAGATCTCAAGTGAAACCTAACGATTTTGACAAAATCAGCGAGGATACTCAATAAGTAGAGGAAAAATTAAAGAAAAACAGCACACTTTATTGAGAAAAATCAACTAACAGAAAAAAAATAAACAATATACAAGTGATCCTCAATTCAAGAAGAGGATCGATCTCTCCCGATTCTCTAGACCCAACTATAGCCCAAAGGAAACCTAAACCTAAGAGATTTCAAATTTCAACCAAATTCAAGATGTAATAATCCTAGGAAAACCAACTATTTAATGCATACAATTCAAAAGGAAATCTCTAAACAATCCCTATGCTCAAATTTTTCTCCTAAATTCCTCAAAAACCCGTCCAAAATAGCTAACGCACGACCGGGTGTGCATTTGGTGCGTATAGGAGGCGGAAGTGTCCGCCTCTGTTCACATAAGCTGGTCCCGTCGAACCGACTGGAGCGATCTAACAGTATGGTTGTTCTTCCATTCTCTCCATCTTGAAGGACGTCCTGAAGGACAAGAAATCTCTCAGTGTCATCTTCCCCCTGTATCTGCTATTACATTTTCAATTCTTCAAATTGAATCCACAAATCAAGCCACTAGCTCCAAAGACCATAGTGTGAACCCTAACTTCGCTTCTCCTTCTATATCCCAAGTTAGCAGTACCAGGGAAAAAACATCTTCTTCCTCTATTCTCAACGAACATACTTGATGTTATTCCCAATCAAAACTGTTTGTAATGTTAGGGTTCTCAATAGAAATAATAGGATTCCCAACTACAATAATTTTATCAATGATAATGGTGATGATACATTGATCTTCTTAAAACAAAGGCTCCTTTGGACTTATTACTCACCCCTTTGCTTTCAACAATATTATATAAGGTATCCTTGACTCATCTTAGGTGATTTTACTTGCACCAACAATGCCAAATTTATGGATTGTAATAAATGTCTTTAATACGGGTTTAGTGGACTTAGCTTGTAATAGTCTTTTCTTTACTTAGTTCAATTAACAACTAGACTAGACAATTTTATTATTGGATCGAGCTTTTTGTAATTCTTCTTGGCTGTATTCATTCTCCACCCCCTATTATAGTATTTCATCTTTGTTAGAGAACGATGAATCAAACACACAGAGAGGAATAGTAAATGACGATTTGCAAAATACAAACGAACACAAATGATTTACGTGGAAAATCTGAATCTGGGAAAATCATTGTGGAGGGAGAACCCCGTCAGGGGGTGCTTCACCTTTAGACCCCTGATATATCTGTAAAGTGTATGACGATCAAGGAAATGAACAAACAAGGGTAACACAAAATTTTAGGCAACTACAACAACCTCTTTCATCATTAGATGGTCCTCTTATTAGTGTGAAAATTTGGGATGTTCCTAAATTTCAATATCAATATCATTTTGTGCATAAAAACTACTGTTATTCCTGCTCTAACTTCTTGGGTATTGTTATAGCTGCCTGGAATATCAATGTGAAGGAGAAGATGAATCTTCTTGATCTTGGATGAGAGAGAGGGAGAATGGAGGAGAGGGAGAGGAAAGGGAGAGAGTAGCGGCAGGGAATTCAAAATTTCTTCTTCACGAGCTATCACAAGGGGCTTCAATACATCATCCTATACATATTATTTATAGGAATATATATAGATGTGATGTCTCGCCGAACAATATAATTAAAACTGGACCAATCAATCCTAACATCTTAGTACTTAAGTAAAAAATGATTTGTAGATTATATAATGTGAATTACTATGAATTTGTTTGGGGTAATGATAATTTCAAGGTCTCTACTCTTTAGAAATCTATGCAGCAAAAGTTAGAAATCTATGCAGCTCATGTTGGGTGTTGCCTTACCCAATATCCTTGGCTAAAGAGCTATTATTATGTGCGGACACCGGACGGTTTTTCCGTCTGGTTACGCGCTCGGTATTGAATGCGGTACATTTTTGAGGTGATGTGACGTATTTCTATTAGTCTCTGGACGTCCTCCGGACTTAGCACGGAATAATAAATCCCTTGGCTAAGGCTAATTGCCTCAATGACATTAATAAGCTTATCCTTTGTAATTATGGGAAGGGCATTATGTAGTTTGGCTTGGAGACATCCCCTCTTATAAGAACGCATACATTTCTCATTGATTAAGTCTCTAATGTAGAGTTCAATTTGATTTGGCGTTGTTTGGAGCAATTTTTTTAATGCAATGTAAAATTACGGTAGAGGAAGTAATTTTTTTAAAACCGTTGTAGAAAATAACTTTCTAGGATAAAATTAATTTGAAAGTGGCAAAAAAATAATGATCATGTTAAAATTATTATTATGCTCTAAAAAAGGAAAGTAGCTTTTTAATACACAAATTTTTTGAATTAAAAATTTTTGTACTAGAAAGCTGCCTTCGAAAATAATAAAAAAATTATTCCAAATAAAATCTTAAAGATCATTTAGTTAAATTTGGAGCTTTGCTAAGAAAATGATGAGTAGGAGCTTTAAAACTAAAAATGTGTTATCTTAAAAGGGCTTAATGTGGACATAATTCAGATAAGAATAATGTGGACGCATAATATAACCATGCAAATAAAAATAGAATGTATTTTTTAAGAATTAAATACATATATATAATATTTTAAAAATTCTATTTATCCTGACCGGATGCGTAGCTTCCAACCATTCAAACAGAGCGTACCGAACGGCTCGGAACAATTGTGCCGGTCAGTTCTCACACAATAGCGCTCTAACGAAGTAAACGCCGGAGCAAATTAAATCGGTCACGGACGCCGACTGCGACACCGTCTTCAGCATCTCATCAGAGTCTCAATGGGCAGCTTCCTGGTAGGAGAATCCAATTAGCAGCATCTCTCCTTCTCCGTAGATTGATAGTTTTGGATCGAATGAAGTAGCTTTTGCTTACGATTTCTTGGCAGTTTAATCAGTACCAGGTGGTGGGCCGAGCTATTCCGGCCCCAAGCGAGGAACATTCCAAGAATCACCGCTTGAAGCTGTGGGCAACGGTTGAACTTAAAGCTAAGTCCAAGTTCTGGTAACATGTCTTGCTTTATTGTTATCTTTAAGATTTTGTATTGCTGTCGTCATCTTGCGTTCGATCCGTTTCCTTGCTTTGGATCAGGTGCTTCCCAAGGAAACTGAAGAAGGTTAAAAAAAGTAATGATCAAGTCCTCGCCATTAACGAGGTTCATTGTTTTATATCACTCTGTCAATAGTTGCCCTAAAGATGTTTATGGGTATGAGTTAATTAATATTATGGCTAATTTTCCTCGATGTTTAGATGTCAGTGTTATCTTTGGGTTCAATTTTATTTAAAGACGTCTGTTTTTTAATAGATTATTAGTATTTATGTCAACATATATGTATGATAAGATTGTGTGACCCCAGATTGAGGCTATGGAAAATCACTGACAAACATTTTGATTAGCATGAGTTATTGATGAAGTGAAAAAAAAAAAAAACTCTCAAGGGCTGATGACAAAATGAAATGACCCAAAAACAGCTGCTGAGAGAATTACTTTTGGGGGAAAAAAGCCAATGGAAAGCACCTGTGACAAGCTGTAGCGCTTGGAGATTTTGATGCTATTGAAGAACTTTTAGTGAATCAACGGACATGGTAGTCCAACAGGAGAGTGCCGAGGAATAACAAGGGGGGAAAGGGTGACAACGAATAACAAAAGTATTAGGATGGAAAAGAATGTGACCATGGTCTTGATGGTCATGATTTTACGAGGCTTTAGTGGATGTTTGACATCTTGCAGTGTGACATGATTTCATCCAACATCTAAATATAGTTGTTGAAGGGGTTGTTTGGATATAAGATTTAAGCAGATTTGAGTTAAATCTTATTAAGTTCCAAAAAACGTATTTTCAAATCTCATGGCAAGTTAAATCATTGTTTTCTCCTCTTTGACATAAATGGTGGATTTAGTAAATCCTATAGTTTGCCGGATTTATGGGATTTGGCTGAAGAAGTGTGCGAAAGGGGCAGAAAGATCGGTACCTTCATAGCATGCTCCCATCATAACTTTCGATCCCATAGGAAGAATGTCATTGAATGTCGTTAAAGAGGCTAAGAAGATTCAAGATTTAGCAACTTATTCAAACCTCAATTTCAAGCGAAGCAAGCAAAACCAAAAAACAATGAAGAAATGGACAAGATAAAAAGAAAACCCTTGATAGGCATAAGACTATAGGAAGATCATGCACAAAGAGCATAGAGAAGAGAAATTATTGAAATAGCTAAGAGATGACATAGAAGAATACCTTCTTAGTTAATCTAATTAGTTTAATAAATATAACGATGAATATAATATAATTGGTAAATAATAATTAGTTAAGTTAATTAATAATTAAATAAAATCCTAATTATATTATTTATAATTATTAGTTTATGCTGGTAATTAAAATTGAAATTAATTTTTAACTATTAAATAATAAAAAATATAATCAAGTCTTTTAAAATTTTGATAAAATTTAATTTTAGTCCTCCTCAATATGTCCTAATTAAAAACACAATTTAGTTTTGCATTTTTTGTGAATTTACCACTTTATATTCAGGAGTTGCGCTACCAAATAGTTTCACTGAATTTACTAGAATTTAACATCTTTCTTGCTAAATAATTTTTTGGATTTAACACCCTTAGGATTTAATAAATCTGGATTTACGAGATTTATTAAATCATACTTGAATCCAAACAGCCTTGAAGGATAGAAATTAAATTCCATTTTGAAAAAAATTGGACAAAGATGTTAACAAATCAAACACTTAACATCTTTAGATAACATGACATGACATTGGAATATTTGTGAACATCTAACATCGTCTCTTCTAGCATTAAGAGAATTATCATATGTAATGTGTCTATCATTCTCTGGTTTAGTTTCATGTTCAAAAATTTTTTTTCCATCCTTATCATTTGGTTCTTATTCCATATATCAATCAACATATATTTTATATAATTTTAAATAAAGTAGTAAATTAATACAACTAGCTAACTTATTATAATTAAATTATCTTTTGATTTCTTTATGATCAAAATCCACTTTTCTTCATTCTTTTGGATGATTGTGAAGCTGAAGTCACTCAATTTGATAACATTGTCAATGTTAGCCATCATATATGTATTATCATCATTGTTAAAGGCAATTCCTTTATCTTCAATTTTAACTCCATAAATTTTTTGAGCTATCAATTTATCATCATATAGTACATCTTGTTCATAAGCCCTATTAGATTCCTTCTGCTTGTATGCACCTAGTTGAACGCACCTTAATTATGTTTTCATGTGGATGTTGAACAAGCAAGGTTAAGTAAATGCAAAAGAATTATAAATGCGTGTTTATTTGCCATAATAAAGTATTTTGTAGCATGATTGGGTTGTGCTAAAGCCAAACTTCCCATTATTTAAATGAAAATCTTCATATTAATTATTGGCTTTAAAATAATCTATACATGAACAATCCTATCTATACCTGCATATAAACTAGCCTCGATCTACTTATACGAGGAAGCCCTTGTTAATTAAGTTAATGGTTCTAGATAATCTAAACTTCTAATAGGAATTTAATCTATACATGAATATAAGATTGAAAAAATCCTGCTTATCCTAGTTGATGTGTATTGAGCAATTTGATAATAAAATATGGTGATTGGCTGTTTTACGCTGCCTTTTTTAATGTTTGGCGCTATAGCTTTTGGGGCGCTATTTAGCTCGGAGTGAATTTCTGAAGAAAAAAATAGTAAAAGGTATTTTTATTTCCTCATCCTGGTTGGGACCACAATCTTGATGATCCCCACTCCATTGTTAGAACCTCTAGTTCATATTTAATCATTTATTTCTGTTGCTTGTGCCATTTAACTCGTTCGAATTGAGATGGGAATTTCAGTGCAATTTTTTTTTTTTTCAGGTCACTGGGTTATAATAAATTATTGTAATTTAATTTTGTTGCTCATGCATGACTTGTGAGTTTGGTTTTCCAACCAACCAATTAATCTACTGAGCTAATTGAAAACTTTTCACTCGTTAGGATCCGGGGGAGTATCAGAATGCCTTGAATTCGATGGCATATTATCTTGGGAGTAATTTACAATGCCGGATGTGTGGTTTCAGAGGAAGAAGAAAACACTTTAAGCTGTTTAAGGTTCCTCACAAGGCCTCCCTGATCCAAAGATTGCAGACCCTTTTTAGTGCATCACCAAAAATTTTATCATCATATATTTTATCATTTCAAAGGAAAGTTCAGAAAGTGACATGTTGGCAAGAGAAGTTCATAATAAGCATTGGTACTATATTTTCTTGTGTGGTTGTGAGCATGATGCTCATTATATCAGCATCTGCAACAGTCAGTAAAGACTCAACTTGTAAGCAAACATCTGCCTGAAAGAATTCCTTACCTGAAAGAATTCCTTTTGAATTATTTAATGATTGATTAAGCACTTTCATTACTTTCAGAAGTGCAATAATTACGAGCATTACTCTCTCATGATCCATTGTAGGGGCACTCACTGAAGACAATCGCCTTTTCTTGGAGGCATGGAGGACTGTTGACCGTGCCTATTTTGACAAAACCTTTAATGGGCAGAGTTGGTTTCGTTATCGAGAAAATGCACTGCGCAATGAGCCGATGAATAATCGGGAAGAAACTTGTACGTTTTGGTTTTTTTATGGTTAGATAAAAAAATTCCAAATTAGAAAACGGGTTTGGGGTTTGGAGAATGGTTTGGTTGCTTTTATTATGATATGGAGGTCACTGATTTAAGCTAAAAAAATATAGTCTTTTGTATATAAGGATAAAGCTATTTGCTAAGTCTCTTTCCTCTGACTCTACATAAGTATGGAGCTTCATTCATTTGGTATAACATTTTTAGAATTACTCAAGTTTTTGAAGTCCTATGGTTGATGATAGTGTGATGCAAAATTTTCCTTTGTACATTTCATTGTCATTTTCAAAATGCCATGCTTGCTTCTCCAAAAGATCTCATGTTCTTTAACTATATTGCCACCGAGCTTTTTATTTTGCACTTTATGCCGATTGCCAATGATGATAATTCACGAGCTGGTAACAGCTATCACATTTTCAAAGCCTCAACTTTATTTTCTGTGATTCTGCTAGGGATTTTTCCCATATTGAATCTCCACAAGCTCACCCTCCTTGGGCTCACATGCACGTAACACAGCAAAAACTGCAATTCATGTGAAATAGAATCGTGTAAGCTACATGCATGTGTACTTTTGCTGTTTGAGCTTGTTTCTAAATTGAAATTTATGACTTTGTGATAAACTTAGGAATTCCAAAATTAGTTTGTGCTATTATCTGGCTCATGTAGAGGGCTTGACTTGGTGCAATGGATTAGTTGCCCCATTTTGATCAGAACAGGCTTTGAGTCCAAAAAAAACTTTATCCTATGAGGTAAGGATGTGTACATCAATACCCTAGACTTTGCAGTAATGGAAACCAATTGCGCTTGGCCTACACTTTTCTTTTGTGTTACTCATTTGCTTTCCTATCCTATTGTTGCATTTGTAACTTCAATTTCAAAATCTTTCTTTGAATCTTGATTTATCCTTACAATTTGTTTTCTGGATTTCATGCTACCAGGTTTTCATTGTATCTATTTTTTTTCATTTCAGACATGGCAATTAAGAAAATGCTTTCTACCCTTGACGATCCATTCACTCGATTTCTAGAACCAGAGAAATTCAAGGTTCTGAGGGTATGGCTTATTTTTTATTATTTGATTAGCATGTTGTGATGAGTTTACTTCAACAATCATGCTAGTTAAGTATGCTTTATTGCAGGACCTGCTTCTAATGGTGTTAACTCCATTTTGAAACCTTGCTTTTTCTTGTTTGAAGGCAGTCTGGCACTCAAGGTGCACTGACAGGTGTAGGTTTATCGATTGGCTATCCCACCGGGCTTGACCTATCATCTGCAGGACTAGTTGTGATTTCAACATCTCCAGGTGGTCCTGCAAACAAGATTGGTATTAAACCTGGAGATGTTATATTGGCAATTGATGACAGAAGCACAGAAGACATGGATATATATGAAGCGGCTGAACTTTTACAGTGAGTGTTTTATCTGACAACTTATTTGTGTTGCCTTTTCTTGTCATCAGATAACTTTCTTTTCTTTTATTGTCTTAATTATAAGAAAAATCCCTCCACCCCCAAGAAAAAGGAAAAAAAAAAATACTTCTCTCTAAAAAAATGCAAGTATAAAATTGATCTAAAAGGATTAACATGTTATGATAAAAATACAATAACCTCTATTTCAGTTTAGATAAATTAGTTCAAGTCTAAAAATTGATTATTTGAGATGCAATTGATATGAAAAATGACAGAAAGGGTTAACATGTTATGATAAAAATACAATAACCTCTATTTCAGTTTAGATAAATTAGTGCTTATTTTTAATGAGATAATTTTTAACAATTTCGTCAAGAACATTTTCTTTTTGATAGAAAATACTTGAGTTCGCAAGCAAATCTAACCCAAATTGTTGAACCAACAGCAAAGGGGTTACTGTTTACAGCAGGAAAACAGCCTAACCAGTGAAAAAACAGAGAATTGAAGAGAAATCTGAAGGAAATCAAAGCAAACAACTTGTATTCCACTAGAAGATGAATAAAAACAGCAACGATACAATATTCTTCCATTCGAGAGGAAGAATAACTCTCCAAAATCTCTAGCCAAGAAGACTAGAGCCCACGCCTCCAAGAATATTATAAATTCCCTTTCAAATTCAAGATGAAACCCTAATTCTAGCATTAGCAACTAATTAAAGCCAAAGGAGAAATACAAAATCCCTAAATAGCCATTCTATTCAAAATTTACCTCCCATAACTTGATTTAATGCAAGTTGGGGCCACAGGGCTTCTGCCCCCTCCCTTTCTCTGGTTCCGCCTGGAGCCTAGAGTAAAACAGGACCGGTCCAAGTTGGACCGATCCAGCCGGCCCCTCCTGGGACGGCCTAACACTTTACATTTTAACCCAAACCACTTCTAAATTATGTGCCTATTTTCAAAGAATAAAGGGGGTGAAGTGAAAGAAAAGTAAATTATGCGGGGTGAAGAAATTTCCCAATTTTAAGATTAGAAACAATCAAGTTATGCTTGAAATTTTGTGCAAGTTTGCTGTAACATGTTATGGGATATTGAATATTTAGTTAACATGGATATTGAGAAAGGTATAATAATTCAGTATTTTTGTCTGAAATGGCATGCATATATTTCCATGACTAGTTTTTTTTATATTGTGGAGACCAAATAAAATTCATCAAAAACTATGACAATTCATATTGATGTGGCTGAACCTCGCTTGTTTTGCACTATTCTTCTTTCAAGTCGTCGATCAGATTCAATATGGTTAAATGAATGTGGTTGACTTCTATTTTTTGGAGCAAGGAAGGAACTGACCATATGAATGAAGATTTCTAGTGACTTGGGGATTTATTTAGGTTTGAATTTGATGCCTGTCACAGAAGAAAGAGATTTATTATATTATATATGAGGGTTTTGAAAGAGGTTTCTTATATTGTATGTGAAGGTTCTGGTTATTTTCTCCATAGATTGAGTTCCTGAATTTAAACTAGAATATTGGGTAAATTATTCATGAAAGTGTCAATGGACCATTTTTTGATAATTTATTTATTATTAGCATATATTTATAGTTTAATTTGTTTACAAACTCTTATCTTTTTTGAGACCTTCAAGGAGGCAGCTCGATCTGCCTTAGCAATAGTCACTCGGCTTCCACAGAGGGAAAAAAATATTGTATACTTGGAGAACAACAGACAAGCTGTTCTTCTAATAAGGGCAAGCGAAAAATTTGAAAGGTTCATCGTTTTCTCTTAGCTGATCTCCTTGTTTTCCCTAATCTTGCTTTTTTGTCGTCTGTCGAGCTTTTTCTTTTCAATCGATTGAATGCACACTCTTTTATGTGCATCTCAACTATCATATGAACAAAATCAGATTCCCTTTCCATGTCCAAATAATGGATTAGCCCTCTTTGGATTTTGGATCATTAAGTGGATGAGCTTCTGCTAATCTTTAAAGGTATGCATTGATATTTAAAAAAATTATTTGATCAAGTGGTCAACACATATCTACTAGTTTGTTGAACTAGCATAATTTGTAGGTACATAACATAATCAATATAATATGCAGTATTGTTTGACCTCAAGTCAAACATAATCAGGCTTGTTTAATTATAAAAGGCTTAGTGTATTATTCAGTTATTTGTTCAAAACTTAATTTATGAACTAACTTAATTAATAGAATTTTCTAAGTAACTTGTTTTTTGCTTTTATTTTCTTAGAATTAAAATAACTTTTAAAATCATTTTCTTAAGTGTATAATGCTTCTACCGTCCTTATTGATCCCATTCCTATTCTAATCAAAGTGACGTGCACTGTAAAACCTTACACCTTTCTTAGCCAGTTTTGCCTGCTTGTCCTTATTCCCACTTTCTCCAACCACTACCTTTGTTGCTTTTCTTCCTAGCCCTAAATCGTCCATGATTACAACATCCGTCAACCTCCTTGAGACTTCTTAATGCTTATAAGTATCCCATAAAGCACAGAGTGAGGATGACATCCAAGGTACCGCTAGATGCTATTTAGACTCCTTATTCTTCGACAAGTTTTATCAAGTTGCGTTGATATTCTAACTCTTTGGGTAGTTATTTGGGGTTCTCCTTTGACCACTAGTGCATTAATGTTTGTGAGTTCTTCCATCAACGTACAATACTTTGTTAGCACTTAACTAACCTCTTTGATCCTTCTGTCGGCCTCATCGCCATTTAAGACTATCTCTATTATGGTGAATTTCATACAAGTAGTCAATTTCGACAAGATCCAAGATAATGCATATTTAGAGGTCTGAAACAATCCATCATGGATTGGCCACACCAAACAAGGCATCTGTATTTATAGCAAGATTTTTGGCATTATGCCTTGCAGAAGGGGAAAGTATTGTGGATTTGGTAAGTCCATGAGTCAGCAATTTACTATCAACCCGATTTGATATTCAATGGATTGACGGGATGAGGAGTGTTCACTTGGTTAACACCATGTGGAGGCCAACAAAGTGCTTTGTCATTGGCTTATGCCCACTTGGACACATGGCATGGTACATTGATTGTGTCATGTGATAACTCATAACTGTGGCTCATCAGTAAGGTTGCCACATGACTTGACAAAAATGTGTCATGTAGTCTGATCTAAGTTGGTCATTTTACATATCATTGAAAATTAAATATTATGGATCACCTTTTACAGAATGTTTTTGTATAACAAAATTGTCCATGTTACAAATATGCCATATAATATCTTTAAAATTTATGTAAAAAAATTGCTAAAGCCTTAAGAAATTAAAAAAGTTATGGGCTGCTTGAATTAGTTTATTAATTCTTAGGCGAGTCTAGTTGGCTTATGTTACTCACATGCTGATCTTTGGAGCAAGTTCAAAAAATTCACTGGTTCTCTTGCCAATTTAAGTGCTCTGAAATGTTTGCAACTTCACCAATAACCATATTAGAGGCGGTGTTGGGAAGTCTGGCACAAATTGTTACCCTCTTGGTGGCTTCCAACCCTTCAACATCCACCTGAAGGAGCAAAATGTGACTTATATACACTAAAATATTTGCTCAACTAATCTACTCTATGGAGATCTAATCTTAGTCTCATTGGGCATCCTTTATATTAAGGGTGACTTTACTTTCTCAGAGAACACTTCACTATAACATGAAAGCTCTATTTCTAGTCCTTAGGGGTTTGTCTTGATGAAGTAACCCATAGTTGCTAACAAGATGCACAATGATCATAATTAAGGTTCACTTACTAAAAAACTAGAAGTCATAACCAGCTTAATGGAGTAGTGCTAATGGTCACTCAAGCTCCCTGTCCAAATGTCATGCCCTTAATTACAACACATGGCTCCCTAACTTTGTATGTTGGCATCTATAGACATGGTTTCATCATGTAAACCTTGCACTATAGAACCATAGGATCTTGATAAGATTTGCATCCATTATCATATTGTTTCATGCACACTACACGTTAGTGGGGAACAAATATTTTTGGAGAAATACATAGTTACATAGTGTGTATTTTGATGGCTAAAGACGAACAATCTTTTAAATTGATAATGCTCTCTTGTTAGGGAGAGAGAATTAATTATGAAAACTTGCACTTATAGGAAGATGCATTGAATCACTTAGCCCAACCAACTAATCTAGAGGCCCAAATTGATACAGAAGATACAAGCAACGTTTGTAGTCAATGTTCCAACCGCCCCAAATTCATGAGCGTATTGCAACACCCATGACAGAGTCATTCATTGTTGTCAAATGCATATCCATAATTAATCATCCATAGTGGACTTTTAGGGGGCATATCTAAATATAGCACAGGGGCCACTTATGGGGAGAAATTTGTTTTTATTCATTTTCCTTGTGGTAGAAATCTTTACTTTTCTCATTGGGAATACACCTAAGAGACTTTTTTAAAAGGAGTTCATAGCTACCTTAACTAGATTTATTTGATATTTTAGATCACAATTTGACTGGCCTTAGACCCTCAAGAATTTCTAGCCTTCTTGACATTCCATTCCTCTTCCCTTGCTCTCATCACCATCACCAATCCCTCCCCCTTAACCATGTACTGTCCCTCATAGCTAATGTCATGACTACCACTGACAGTACAGTAAGACCATGTACCATTGCCCTCTGGCAAACTCGTTTAATCTTGTTCAAATTATCTTGTCCTGTTGCCTATAATTGAACCCCAACATTACATGCAAAACAACTTGATCGCCTCCCCAAATGGGGAAAATATTGATAACGCGAATGCAAAGCTTTTCAATGAGGATGGAAAGCAATTTCATTGAAGTCCATTTCTAGGAGCATCATCTTCTGTTAACATGTCCATCTCCCAAAAGGATGAGGTGAGCTAATACAGTGTTGTTGCTAAAGTTGTCATCTCTTCCTTTCTTACGTTCACAATTTCTAGAGCTCTCACAATCTCCATCTCCCAAAAGGGTGAGGTGAGCAAATGTCTTTTTCATGTCTCTCTTTCTAAGTAAATTTCCTTGTCAAATTTGGTGTCTATTTGAACATTTAACTTAATTTTATGCTTCTCTTTTAAAGGCCAACATTTGGTGGCACAAAGAATTTCAAGTCTCACTACCATCTTGTAGAATTTTTCCTTAAATTTGATGGGTACTTTTCTATCACATAGCAGACCCGTTGCTTTCCTCCACTTCAACCATCCAACTTGAATTCTACTAAAAATATCCTAATCTATTTCACCGTCACTCTAAACAATAGACCTCAGATATCTAAAACATGTACTCTTTTTTAATAACTTCATCGCAAGACTTTTTAACTTTTCCATGTGGCTAGCCATTTTATAGCCATTTGAATCATATATATATATATATTTAATATAAATGAATATTTTATCAAATATAATATTATTAGTTGATAAATTTAGGGTTTAGGGTTTAGGGTTTAGACCTCAGATATCTAAAACATGTACTCTTTTTTAATAACTTCATCGCCCAAAATCACAATTCCTCCCCCTCCCCACCCCCAACTAAATCTATCACTATGAAAATTACATTCTGTGCATTTGGTTTTAGATTTATATGCCATTCATAAAAAAATGTATCTTGTGTTAGATATATTCTAATGTTGGAGAAGAGGTCATTTATGATAAAAATTCATAATTGGATCAAGCCATTTCAGTCGTTAGAGAATGATGATTTCTGTAATTCAAAGCCCAATAATAATTGATACTGAATGCAATATTTCTCTATTTTTTCCAATTAGCTGTCATGTTTATTCATCTATTTAGTTGATTTCCCTTCCAGTAATTTGCTCTTTCTTAATTTGATATTTCAATATTTCTCAAACTATCATTGCTATGCAGAGGTACTGAAGGAAGCACCGTTAAATTGGATATCCACAGTGGCCCTGAAATTAAGCAGATGGCTTTGAGGCAAGAACCACTTAATGATCTTTTTAGTATCTAGGAAAGCATATTTAGTTTTCTTGCGGAACCTCTAAGATGCTTTACTAATTCCCTAATGCAATTGACAGGAGAGAAAAAATTACTCTGAACCCTGTGAAGTTAAGGCTTTGTGAGGTTCCTGGTCAAGGGAATGACAACTCTAGGATTGGTTACATTAAGTTAACATCATTCAACCAGAATACTTCAGGTTAGTTTTTTTAGTAATTCCCTTTGTTTGTTTGACAGGTTAAAAAACCACACACATGGCACGTCCTTCCTGAAAGATCATAAGAATTGTTAAATTTGCATTTGACATTTTAGGATGCAACAATTCGTCTTGTATCTGTTTCACTATTTAGTAGTTCTATTTTTGGTCGTTGTTTTGAGGGAATCTACCTTGATAGTTGCTGAACAAAAGCCAAGTGGCTATGTTATTCGTATCCATACATTGACTGCTAATGTGTGTCAATTCTTGTCTCTGCCTTATTTTATCTTTGAATCATTCATTCCAATAAACAGTAATCTATTTCCTGTTGCACGAGTACCACTTTTTTAATTTTTAAAATAGCGTACATGAATTTGTGATGCCGTGTAGGCCATTAGTAAGGTCAAATCATTCTGCAAGGTCCAATTGGCCATAGGCCTATTATAAGAAGTTAAATTAGGCCACAACATAATTGAACCAAGTCCGTTATAATGCCTTTTTAGGTTTTTTATATTTTTGGCCCAATTAATTAATTATATATATATATATATATTTTAAAAAAATATTTATCGAAACAACAAACTTTACCTTTTCATGTTGCTTCCTCACTTGCCCAGCCATTGCTCTATCTCTTTCCCCCTCTTTCTCCCTTATTCATTTGACAGTAGAACGCTCCACACACAATACTTCTCCCCTTGCTCGGTAGTCTACTCACAATCTCTCTCTCTCTAAACTACGTGATAATTCACCATTCGATTTCAAAACTAGTTCATTCCCCTATCACGATTTTAAAGTTAAATAACTCTCTTCGTCTTCCTCACAATAGAATCAACACAATTAGTTCAGTTGAACCTACGGTAGTATGTTATATATATATATATATATATATATATTCTTGAATGTTATAGTTAGAAGCATATTGAATTGTGTAATATTAAGTATTTTAATATTATGAATGTTAAGAGTATAATGAAGGTGAGTATCATGATTTGTATGCATTTGATAGGAAGTGGATGCAATTTCAGCAAAACAAGACAACGACACAAGAATTTTAGGAAGAAGAACACACAAGAACTTTTTTTTATTGAAAGAACTAAGGAAAAAAAAAAACAAGATACATTTAGATCTTCATTTGGAGAGGAAGATCCGGCTCTCCCAAATTCCTAGCCGTCGGCTAGAGCCCACTCAACCTAAGCAAAACTAATTCCAACAAAATCAAGCATGTTCTAAAATCACCTCATAGTTAGCCTTAATTAGGCTCCCATAATTCCCTCCCAAATCTGTCCATTTTCCTTTAATAATTTTCTCTCATATTTGAATTCAAATTAGATCTCTTTTCCTAATTAATTCTCTCTCAATTATAGTTAAAACTTCCCCAAACAATTCCCCCTTAATTCTTGCATGCATAATGAATATTAACTCCCATGCCTTTTCCTAAATAATTCCCTTTAGATTTGAAATTCAAATTAGATTTCTTTTTCTAACCAATTCCCTCTCAATTGTAATTAAAACTTTTCTAAACAATTCCCCTAATCTCTTCTTACCCACCACCCACCCTAGTGGAGCCCACAGGCTCAACCATCGGCCATCAACATTCTGAATGCTCCGTGGAAATTAGATGATATAAGAAGTTGCGTGCAAGGGTCTATAATCTCTTCAAAGTAAGCCGTAAAACCAATTCTAATGTTTATGTTTTAAATTTACATCCTGATATGTTTTTAAGTCTTATTTTCACTATTGAAGATATACTGTATTATTGAGGAGTATTTGAATATTGAGAATTACATGTTGATTTTTCTACTAGTGGGTTTCTATAATAATTGTTTCTTCTATAGATCTTATCTTCTAGTTCCACTTGCCTACTTGTATATTGCGTATCATCTCAGTTGAAGTAATAATGGGGAAAAATATTGAGCATGGGTTTCTAGTCAATTGGAAAGGCATACCTTCTTCAAATTATACTTTGATGACCCATGATAAATTAGAAGCTTGCACTGTTCACTTGAATGATTGCATGAATATTAACTCTTCAAATAAGAATTTATTCTACTTTAGGGCACTAATCCAAATTAACCTACGAAAGCTCAATTGACTATATGCCAATTACAGGGAGTCAAACCAAACCATAGTGGAACTAAATTGGCCATTTACATGCTTTTTAGGCCCCTTTAATTTTTAGGTGAATTTTCATGTATTTTAATTGATTTATTTTATTAGGTTTAATTATCTTCTTTGGATAATATAAAGTTCAAATTTAAATATTTTGTTAGGATTATATTTAATTTTAAATAGGATTAAATTTGAATTCAAATTATTTGACTTATATTCTTGTAATCACCTTTCTATAAGTAGGGATTGTTGGCTTATATTTAAATAGCACTTTAATAAGTGAAATTTGATAGTTTTTTATGCCAATCAAATGCTCCTTAGATCCAAGGTGTGTATGTGATTCGTTTCAAATTGTGGATGTAGAGTTCTTCTTTTCCTTTCTATCAATTTGGTTTAAATGATTCATGATTTTCTTGAGAACTTCTTTCACTTTGATTGCTAGTAAACCTTCTTCCAACTTTTTGAATACTGTTTTTTTTTTTTTTTTTTAATGGTATAGTTGAATCTCTTTGAAATATGCAAGATTTCATAAGAGCCTCATTCATGCAATATTGGTTTCCGATCAATTTTATCTAGAGATGCAAAACAATACACTTGGTGATGTTAGTAACACGGCAAGGAAACTTGACCTGAATTTTTTTTGCCCGTTTCTCATTGTAATGAATAATGCAAATATCATGCCCGACAAAGCAAACTTTTACTTACTAATTTCTTGAAGTATTAAAAATTCAAATTTCATTGGGATGAGATGTCCATGTGTAGGTTAGTAACTCCTTTTTAGTTTACTTAGATACCGGGTATGTGAGAGTTTTGAGTGAAAAATACAATTTGAGCAGTGCACTTTATCTTATTACTTTTTGTACTGTTCTAATGCACATTTGTCTGCGAGGGAAGGGCCTCATAAATATGCAAATTAAGAGCTTATTCATGATGTAGCTTTAGAATTTGGATTCATAGTTTTTCTGATCGCTAGAATTTATGATTACTGTGTATAGCTTTGATAATTCTTATTATTATTTCAACTTTTATCATTGCCGTGATTACAGGGGCTGTAAGGGATGCTATTGAGTCTTTAAGACGCAGCGGTGTAAAATCCTTCGTGTTGGATCTTCGGGATAACAGGTGATTATTTTAGTAGCATGTATCAGTATCAATTTAACTTGCATTTTAAATAAAAAAAATTAACTTGCATGTTTATTTGTCTACTGTTGTTGATGCAGTGGTGGTTTGTTTGCTGAAGGTATTGAAACTGCTAAGATTTGGTAAGCTATTTTTTCTCTTACTTTTTGTTATTTCTTGATTTATAGCCGTTGTTTGTTAAATTTTATTTTATTTATATACCAATTAATCTGCATCAGTTTAATATCTGTTAAGGAAATGTGTGGGTAACAATGAATTAGTAGCTAGAACGTTGAAGGTAGTTCCAGTTGCTGTGTTAAGTTTATGAACATGGTGCGATAACTTCTGTAGCGCGGTGGTTCATAGCCACCTCTGGAAATTTTGACAATATGCCATATCTCTTACGGAGGGAAGGTGATACCATGAAATTGTTTTTTTTTTTAAATGTGGGTATAGATATGCTTGGAGACTTTTTGATGAGAACATCGGACGATATCGACGAGTCTATTAGCGTAGGAATCATAGATCGATGGCTACGATTCACTGTCGTTATTTTTGATGCATTTATGTATTGTAGTTTATTTACTAATTACGATTGTACCATTTCTTTTGAGTTTGTTTGAGTTGTAGCCTAAGGGGCATTTGAGTCATTGTTATTTTATTTTCTAGGTCTATATATTGTGGTCTCTTCTATTGTAATGGGATGATGAATGATTACTAATGAAAATTCATCTTTCTTGTTCTTGATCTCTTTGTGAGTTCTTGAGAGGAGAAAGGCGAGGGTCACGCATCACCCGTCAGCCGCCGGTGGATTCTGAGACTCGCGGTTAGTACTTAGTATTTCCATCTTCTTCCTTCCTTGGGTACCACCACTAACCACCTAGCCCAAGCCCTTAGCCGCCGGCTTGAAGCCTCCAAACCCTGCCCTTTTCTCTTCTTAACCCGTCACCCTCATCACCTACATAAGCCGCCGGCCTCCCCTCATCTAGGGCTGCAAACGAACCGAGCCGAGCCGAGCCGAGTATGTGAGTGTTCATGTTTGTGTTCATTTAATATCAGGTTGTTCAAGTTTGGTTCATAGTTGTTCGAGTTTTATTGTTTGTGTTCATGTTTGGTTCATTTAAATTAATGAGTGTTCATATTCGGTTCATGTTCATTCGTTTAGTGCTTATCGAGCTTTAAATAAACAAACATGAACGAGTTATAAACGAGCTCTACTTTTAGATATTCATTAACTTAACAAACGAGCTTTATCGAGCTTCCTAACAAACGATTACATCGAGCATGTTCGCGAACTTATTGTTGAGCTCTATTTATATTATTTATATTCATTAATTCTATAATCAAATATTAATTATTTTTATCAAGCTTATTCACGAGTTCAAAATCGAACACGAATCGAGCTTGTTCATGAACTTCATATGATGTTGTTCGTGAACATAAATGAGCCGAACGCATTAGTGTTCAAGCTTGTTTATTTTAGAATCGAGTATTTAAAATATTGTTCAAGTTTGTTTGTTTAGTCAATTAAACGATCACGAACGAGCTTTAATCGAACCGAACGAGTAGTTCGTCGAACGTTTGGTTCGCTTGCAGCCCTACCCTCATCCGCCCGCCGCCAGTTTTCCCAACCCCCTCACCACCGGCCTAGTCTCCACTAGCCGCCGGCCCCTCCCTACCATGACCCTTGAATTTTGAATTTCAAAATTCAAATCAATCTTAATTACTTTTCTAATTTATCTCACCATTAATTTGGAAAGTTGCCTCATTTGAATTCAAATTATATTTGAGTTTTAAAACTTTTCCTATTAACCAACTTAAATTAGGAAACATCTCAATTACATTAAATCTGAAATTAATTTCAGATTTAACGACAATCCCTAATTAAATCCTCCCCGGGCCCATATATCGAACCTAGACACATCCAAGCCCCACACCCCCCCCCTCACCCCTCTCTGGCCGGCCCCTCTATGGCTCTTCTCTCTCTCCAATTCTCCCTTAATTCACATTAAATATTCCCCTTAATCCCCTCCCAACCGCCGGCCCCATTGTAGCCCAAATTGGAATAATTTTGAAATTCAAATTGATTACTCCCATCTCTTAGTAAAATCTGAATTTAACTTAAAATTTTCTAAACCCCTCCTTCCACCTCACTAGACCTAACCCTAGCCGCCTCCTCCCTTTCCCTTCTCCACCCCAATTCTCCAAACCGCCCCCACTGTTCTCCTTCCCCTTTCCCACCGCCGGTTCCCCTTCAAGGCCACGAAGAACGAAGAGGCTCCTCCTAGTCCATGGATGGCGGATCCCGACGTTGATCTCGGGTTTGCATATGATAACCAAGGCAGGACGGACATTCCTCGATCTACCTTCTTCGATTTGAACTTGAACGTCGATGACTCCGTGGAAGGCTACATTGACCGCATCACCTTCACGTTGGCACCGACAATTGAGGAGCATCTCCCAATCGGATCGTGGTCGATTGCGGGACGCCCACCAATCCATTTGTCGCCAGCAATTTTTCCATCAACTAAGATCTTAGGCTTCTTCTTCCTGGTGGTGATCTCTTTTCTAGTGTGGAGTATCTTCTTCCGCTAACCCCACGAGAGAATGAGTGAGAAGGTCCTCAAGGTGAAACCTCTCATTATTAAATTGTGGTTTTTTGTTATGCTCTCATAAAAGTTACTCTTGTCTTTGAAGTTTGATTGAATTGTCTTGTTAATCTAACGCGCACTTCTTAGCATACGCAAGTTGAAAACTATGAATTCCTAAAATTTTCTTTGTTGTGAATGATAACTTTATATTGAAAAGCTTTCAACAATTGCTCTTATTAATTTCTCGCTAACTCCTGATAGTTTCACATCACTTTTCTTTTTCTTGATGGAATGCGCAATGATGTTTTCCTACATTGCGCAAATTCTAAAACTTAACTAATGTAAGGATACCCAAAAAAATGTGAGACAAAACATCATATAGTTTTGATGGGGAGGTCAGTATATATGAACTTTATCTTTGTTATGTGACCAACATATTCTAGAATAAGGAAAGATTTTTGTTCTTAAAAGGATATTATTCACGTGGTAGATCATTTTTTGATTTCTGACCCAATAACTAGTTAAAGTTTTTTTTTTTTCTGTTTTAACATGGGCCAGAATGAAGTAAATTAGGTTATTTCGGTTTTGTAATATAGCCTTGATATTGGTTTAGGCCCTTTTTATATTCCTTGTTATGGCCCATCTTTTCTTGGAATAAATGTGTTGTTGGCTATTGGATTCCATATTGCAGATAGATTTTATTTTTTGCTAATGTTGTTATTTATGCTTTGATGCCTATATGATTTATGGAATGGGAGAGGTGCATTTTCAATTTTCCGAGTTGGGTTAATGGAAACACCTCTTTTTCAAACGTTCTTTTGATGTGAAACAAACAACGGAATTGCAGGATCTTATTAAGAAATTTGTTTCCGCTATGAAATTATAACATTAATGATTCACTAAGTTAGGATTTTCAGTTTTCGTAGTTATTGACTTGCTTCTAGCATGCGGTTACACGTTAGATTAACAGAGCGATCCGAAATAATGACAAGAAAATAGTAAACAAATATGCGATTAACAATAATCCACCACTTAACAATTAGAACTTAACAATAGTAAACAAATATCCGATTAGAGTTTCCCTCTCGATCGTTCTTTGGAAGTAGGTTTAGCGGAGGACAAAAGTTAGCAAGCCTAGTGATGCCATTGCAAGATAGAGGATGCCAGAGGTTTTGATCAATGGAGAGTTGGCCGGAGTTGGAGAGATGGGTGGTCGTCCTGCGATCTTCCACGATCCTGTAGGTTGTTGCTCTTCGATGATGTCCGCCAAAGTAAAGTGAATACGCTCCACTTATTCTTCGACGGTGCCTTCGAACCCAAATCCGGGATCGAAGAACGGTGATTGAATGATGTCGACTTTCTCTTGAGAATCGTAAACGAATACGTGATCAACTTCCGGATCCGTCATACATTCTTGCTGGGAGATGAGGGAGCACCAATGAAGAGAAGAGGGAGAGGAGGTGGCGGTTGGAGGGGATGGTGTTGGGCCGGCTTGAGGAATAGTAGGGGAGCGGCTAGATTGGGGAAGCACTTGGGGGAAATTTAGAAACCTGAAATTAAATTCAGGTTTAAGTGAAATTGGAGGGAATTAATTTGAAATTCAAATTAATCCATTAAAGACTAGGGGCGGCAAGAGAGGAGGGGATTGGGGCTGATTTAGTGGGGGGATTGGGATTAAATTGGGAGGGAGAAAAGTCAAAAATATGAAATTAATTCTCAGATTTAGTGAAACTGGAGGGAAGGATTTGAATTTGAATTCAAATTCGAATCAAAGGATTAATGGGAGGTGAGGAATTATGGGAGGTAATTAGAGAGCCTTGATTGAGGGCAATTAAGGACAATTGCAGAGAGAGAAGCAAGGGGAAGGGGGCCGGCCATGTAGAGAGGGGAGAGAGTGAGTTTTAAGTTAACTATGTGGGCCCGAAAGGATTTAGTAAGGATTTAATTAAATATGAATTTAATCTTAGATTTTATTAAATTGGGAGGTTTCTTTTCTTAGATTTAAGTAATAGGAAAATATTTGAAACTCCAATCAATTGATTGAATTCTCATTATGATGCTTTCCTAATTACCAAATTCTAATTTTGAAAAGAAAGTAATGGGTTTTGAAATTTGAATTTCAAATCTATGAACCCAAGGGAGGGGGCGGCGGCTAGGCAAGTGGAGAGGAGAGGATGGGAGGGAAAGTGTGTGTGTGTGTGGCGGGGGGGGTGGATCGGCGATTGGTCGGCGGCAAGGGGGAGGGCTCGGTTTTCCAGAAAAAAAGGTTGAGGGTGGTGAGGCCGGCGGTGGGAGGTTTAGGAGAGGGAAAATTGATGCAAGGGAAGAAAAAGAAATTGAAGAACCGCGAACCTTGGAATCCACTAAGATTGACGGGTATTGCTCTCACCCACTAAGGGTTTTTCCTCTCAAGAACTCACAAAGAGATCTGGCAAGAAAGTGGAATTCTCATTCATAATCATCATTAGAAAATAATACAAAGACTAGGCTTTCATATATAGGCCTCCAAAGCACAAAATATAAAAAAACACAAATGCCCTCGGCTACAACATGACACAAATCCCTCATAGGGGTACAAATGAAAAACTGAAAAATAAATAAAAGAAGGGGGGGGGGGACCGGTGGTTGGGTGGAGGAATGGTCGGCGGCAAGGGGGAGGGGCTCGGTTTTCCAGAAAAAAAAGGTTGAGGGTGGTGAGGCCGGCGGTGGGAGGTTTAGGAGAGGGAAAATTGATGCAAGGGAAGAAAAAGAAATTGAAGAACCGCGAACCTTGGAATCCACTAAGATTGACGGGTATTGCTCTCACCCACTAAGGATTTTTCCTCTCAAGAACTCACAAAGAGATCTAGCAAGAAAGTGGAATTCTCATTCATAATCATCATTAGAAAATAATACAAAGACTAGGCTTTCATATATAGGCCTCCAAAGCACAAAATATAAAAAGACACAAATGCCCTCGGCTACAACATGATACAAATCCCTCATAGGGGTACAAATGGAAAACTGAAAAATAAATAAAAGAAATGCACTAAAACACATAAATAAAAACTATGAATCGTAGCCGACGATCCAATGTCGAAATGTACGGTGGATGTCCTGATCATCTTTTAGTTTATTTTTTTCAATGCTGTTGGCTCGCTACTCTTGGAATTTTCGTAATACTCAGTTCACTAAAATGCATAAATTTGTGCCTTCTCTTACTCTTTTAGTCATCCGGAACAACTGGACAGTATTTGACATCTGATTCATAACTAAAAGGAAGTGGTCATTTCTTCTGGCTGCTATTATGCCAGTGCCGTTCTGCTTTATCTCAGTTGTTGACATTTATCAGGCCGTTGCTGATCTACTTTCTGTAAATGTAAAGTTATTTTTTGTTTGTGCTTATTATTATTTTCTTTTGCTTAATCTTCTAATTAGAGTTGCTGAATTGATTTTTCTCTTTATTTGTGAACTAATTGTAGTGTTTGTGATTGCTTCTTGAACATATGATTTCTGTATGGAACTTGTTGACTTTTAATGATTTTTTTTTTAATCAGGTTGGAAAAAGGTGTAATTGTTTATATTTGTGATAGCCGAGGTGTCCGTGATATCTATGAGGCAGATGGAAGCAATGCCATTGCTGCATCAGAGCCTTTGATTGTGCTGGTATGCCTTTTCCTAAGATTGCTGAAGCAGGTTATCTACTTTATGCTACATTGGATTGCTTAGACTGCTCACTTTTCAAGTCCAATTCAGTATTCTTCATTTATCTTTTGTGTAACCAACTAATACATAAAAGAATAGAAAAATATAGAATGAAAATTAGGGAAAACGTGAATGATCGCCTCAGAGTAAAGGGGGCATGAGTTAAAGTCTTAAAGAGACAGAAGGTAGAGTAAATCCTATAAGGGATGATTAATTTTCGAACAGGAAGCCAAAAGAAACTTTTCTTTATTCATCAACTTTATTTGTCAGGCCTTATCGAAAAACTCCAAAACCAGCCTCGAGGGGGAAAAAAAAACCTAACTAATCTTAACTGTCTTGTTGCACATTAATAACTAACTTAAATATTAGTAGAGTGATAGGAAACACTTGTAGATCTCAAGTATTTCCTATCAATCTTCGGAAAACAATGAGAATTCTTCACAAAAGTCCGCACAAAACCACGAAAACAGTTGATAATTTGTATTATTTGATGAAAGGAAAACAGAAAATAGCAAGATACAATTGATCCTCAATTCGAGAGGAGGATCGATCTCTCCCAAATCTCTAGACGTCGCTAGAGCCCGAAGAAAAACCTAATTCTAAGAGATCTCAAATTTCAGCCAAATTCAAGATGCCCTAACCCTAGGAAAACAAACTATTTAATGCATACAAATCAAAAGGAATTCCCTAAACAATCCCTACATTCAAATTTCCCTCCTAATTCTCCCAAAATTCTTTCCTATTTGGCTCCCGTACGGTGTGCGGCTCGCGCGGCATCCTAGCGGGCAGAAAAATTCCGCCCTGTTCGCGTCTAGGCCGGTCCTGTGTGGACCGACTGGACCCGTCCACTGAACCGGTCTAACAATACTCCCCTCCCGAAGATCCACCTTGTCCTCAAGGTGGAATTATGCTCGTGTTCCTGTGGAGGTGGCCATCCTTGAGGTGGCTGAAAAACCTTACCGAGATGCTGAATTAAGGGCTGCACTGAAAGGGAAACATCTCCTCCCTCCTCCAATCTGATCGCATCCAACCTGTGTAGTCCCACCAGATAATCTTCCCCCACCTCTTGTATGTCTCTAATCATGGTCTTTAGTGATGTCATGACTTTGGATAGCTCTGCATCTCCCCTTTATAACCACCTTTCTCCCATCTACCATTAATTCCATCGTTAGTGCTCCCCAATTGTCTTTGGTTTTCCCTAAGGTTTGCAACCACTTCATCCCCAGGATGACATCAGTACTTCCTAACTCTAGTTGGAGAAAGTCCTCCCTTACTTGAATCCCCTGGATGGTCAACACCACTCCTCTACAGATCCCCTGGCCTTTCTCCACCTTCCCTGTACCCATCATCACCCCATAACAACCGATGTCCACTAATTTCACTCCCAATTGGTCGACGACCTGAGTTGAAATGAAATTATGGGTAACCCCACTATCAATTAACACCACCACCATTCTGCCCTCTATCTCCCCCCTTCATCTTCATGGTATGATTCGTAGTGAATCCTACCACTGAGTTTAGGGAAACCTTGGCCAGATCCAAATGCAACTTCTCCTCTATCTTTTCCTCCAACTCCCTCTCACCTCCCTCATCAGTTTCCTCGTCATCACAGATGGTGAGAACCTGAAGAGTTCGGTCCTTGCACCAATGTCCTGGCGTATACTTCTCCTCGCACCTGAAACACAACTCCTTTGCCCTCTTCTCCTGCATCTCCTTCTCTGTCAGCCTCTTGAAATTTTTTCCACTTCCTCCTACTGGCTTCTCCCTAGTGGTCTCATTAATATTGCCTGATGCAGGCCCCTTGGGTGCTAGAAGAGTGGTCGTTGTCCTGTAAGAGCCTCCTGAGCCGTTGTTCCTGGCCCCCTTCTTCAAATTATTATGATTTTTCACCAGTTGTGCCAACTTCATGGCCTCCCCCAAGTCACTAGGCATCAGAACTTTCACTGCCGCTCGGATCTTTGCCTTCAACCCCTTCATGAAGTTTCCCTCCAATACCGTATATGATAATCGCTCCACCCTACTGGCTAGGTGCTCCCGGTAGTCTGCTACTTATCCCTCCTATGCTAGAGCAAAGAACTGCTCATAGAAATCTCCTCCCTGGTCAGCTTGGAAACGTTCTATTATGCAGTCATTGAATTCCCTCCAGTCCCTGATAGGTCTCCTCTGGTCTCTCCACTGGTACCATGACAGTGCATTCCCCTCCAAACATAAGCCTGCTGCTGTCAGCTTCTCCTCCGTTAGCCCATTAACGGCAAAGTACCTCTCCACCTTATAGATCCACCCATATGCATCCTCCCCTTTGAAGATAGGCATATTCAACTTCCTCACCTTCTGATTTCCACCATTCCCCCTTATTCCTCCATAGCTTCCCCTCTCCTAAGTGCTCGGCCCACCCCACACTCCCGATTTTCCCTTGGCCTGCCATTGCCCAAACCCCCTTCGAATTCCCATCTTCTTTCTTCAAAATCAGCACCTCGGCGACCATAATGTCCCTCCTGGCGTTCCCAATCAACACGCCTTTGCTCCGTCCCTCCATACCCATACCTACCTCCTCTATCCTCCCTCTGGAAAGGTCCCAGATCGGGTTTCCTTCTTTCTCCCTCCACGATTTTCACCTCATCTTCCTCCCTATAAATTTCAGAATTCGTATTTTTTCTTTCCTCTTTTTCCACGGAAGCCGCCGTTTGATTGTGGATTTCCAACATTTTCTTCATCATATCCCGAAGATCGGCTACTTGTCCTTCCATGGAGGAAATCCTTTCCTCCACTGTTGTCTTGATTTTGTTCATCTCCCCTTCAAACCTTTCTTCTAGTGTATCAACTTTCTTGGCCGCCATCTCGATCCGAACTTTTGTAAATCCAAAAATTCCGGAGTTGGATTATAAAAACAGCACTTCGTCCCTTCTCGACCAAAAATTGGGCTCCGAACTTCGCCAAAATCAACCCACGAATGGTCCCAAGACTTTCTCTAATACCAATTTGATAGGAAACACTTGTAGATCTCAAGTATTTCCTATCAATCTTCGGAAAACAACGAGAATTCTTCACAAAAGTTCGCATAAAACCACGAAATTAGTAGATAATTTGTATTATTTGATGAAAGGAAAAAAAAAAAAAATAGCAAGATACAATTAATCCTCAATTCGAGAGGAGGATCGATCTCTCTCAAATCTCTAGACGCCTCTAGAGCCCGAAGAAAAACCTAATTCTAAGAGATCTCAAATTTCAGTCAAATTCAAGATGCCCTAACCCTAGGAAAACAAACTATTTAATGCATACAAATCAAAAGGAATTCCCTAAACAATCCCTACATTCAAATTTCCCTCCTAATTCCCCCAAATTTCTTTCCTATTTGGCTCCCGCACGGCATGCGGCTCGCGCGGCATCCCAGCGGGCGGAAAAATTCCTCCCTGTTCGCGTCTGGGCCGGTCCCGCATGGACCAGCTGGACCGTTCCACTGGACCGGTCTAACATAGAGACTATCACAACATGATCATTATCATGAACTAAAGGTACTTGTACAACCAATTCCTCAAAGGCTGAAAAGAATTCTTATTTTGAGGGTTACAATGTTGGAATGTTATTGTAGAAAGAGATATAACCCTTTAATCGTGCTGTAGTGCTAGCAAAATATATCCTGAAAAAGAGAGATGAATGTAAAGTCCATCCCTAGTTAGAGGAGATGGAAGTAAAATCCATCCTAAGAAGGATAAGGGGGAAGAACATCACTACATCAACAATAACAATAGAATATTGCTATCACAGGTTCTCAATATCATTATCAAAACTTTGGAAATACATATAGAAGCTTACAAGTCTTTATATATATTGCTAGATTGATTCCACCTACAAAAAATACTTAATGATTGAACTATCCTTATTTATTTTCATTTGGGTTTATAGGTTGCAGTTAGCAAAGATGTGGATTGGGCATCTGGTTTGAGTACCGAATGTAGATTTGTGAAGCGGATAGCTCACTATGTGGAGAAGGAAGCAGCATTTGTTCAAGTGATGCGAAGTCAAATGGGCCATCGGGCATGAGTGAAATAGATGTGTTAAGTGTGTGATGCATGTGTGCGATGCTGTTGGCTCTCAATGAATAGTGAGAACAAAGTGGGCACTTTGTATGCAAATGGGAAAACAAGTTTTGGGATTGGCGACACAAAAGAAAGCATGCAGGCATAAGTAGGAGCATGCATTTATGGTTGAGCATGTGAGTGAACTAATGTTATGATGTAACAAGAGAACTATTGTGAGTCTGGCAACAAGTGACAGTGGGCATTAAACAAGCACACAATTGGGCGAGCGCAATCGAACAGTGCATAGCGATTGTTTAGCAAGTGCGCGCATGTGGTCAAATATGGTGCAATGAGTGATTGATAGAGGCATGATAATTACACCATGCAAATAGTGGAGTACATAGTGCGTGTGGGCGAGATGCATATTGTCGTGTTGTACAAGTAGGGGAGGACAAAAACACGTGATGTCAGATGCATTAAGGTTTCTCTTCATAATGTGAGGTGTTTGATGAAGTCGACAAGCGCAATTGTGTGCTAAGTTAATTTTGACATGAGATATCATGCTTGAAGTGAATCATGCCTAGAATTGAGATATTGCAATTAGAGGAGTGATCAACAACGATGATGAATGGATTTGCATTTGGCGCAGGTTGCAGAAGATGTGCGTGATCACAATGAAGCTTTGCTCCCAAAATTGATGCAGTTGAAGAATTGATCCATTGGGAAATGCGAAATCCTTCTTTGAGTCTCCTCAATGTACATGAGAGAAACTTTAGTGATTTTTCTTGAGGTTGATTAGGTTTAATTTAACAAGATTTTCCCAGATGAAGGCATTAGGTTTTAAATTTTTATGTAGATATGAAGCCAAAACTTTTTATCGACACAGACGTTCATAGATAGTTATCTCTCCTACTCATGGGAGAGCACTCTCTATGAAGGAGGTTGCTTTGGCTCATATTTATACTTGGTTTCAAGCTTTAGATTTGAAGTTATTTGATTAGAAATGGTTGGCATAATGGAGCTAAAGTCGATCAGAATCCCATGGTTATGTCATATCGGGTATAAATGTGGTATTTGTCTCACAACATTAGAGAGCTTTGAATTGTCTTTTCCAGGATGCTTGATTAGTAATAATGGATTTTCTCCTCCTGTCCCGAGTACATTGAGGTGGAAATGTGTGTCGAAGATGTGTTTTCGAGCAATAATGTACTTGTTACATTGAATTCTTAGAAGGCAGGAAGAGGAATTTCTTGCAACTCAAAAGTGTTGAACATGCTTGAGAAGAGCTTAGAGGCATGGCAAGAAAATTAATTATACATAAGATGTAGCTTGATTCATAGAAAACACAGAATTTTTTATTTGTGCGGTTCCAATAGGTTAATTTGATTTTGATTGGTAGTCTTATTAACATAGTGTGTCCTAATTTAATTTGAGTTTGAGCTTACATCAATTAGAAGGCTTGAGAATTAAGCCTGATTGGAAGGGTTTGCTTGCTTTTTGTCAGCCTAGATTAGTTGGGTTGGAATGAAGTCTATATTTATTAGAAGGTTCAAGTTTTGATTTAATTAGCTTGCTTGATTTGTTTCATCTCAAATTAATAGAGATGAAGCTTGTATCTATTTGAAGGTCAATCATATGTCATTTTGGTTCTTGATGTATTTTTTATGTTTAAAATTAGGTGTTGTTTGGTTATAAAAATTTTAATTTTTGTACTAGAAAGTTATTTTTAGAAGTAGTTAAAAAGCCGCCCCAAACGACGCCTTACTGAGCGCCAATTTACATCTATCTCTTTTTTTGTGGATTGAGATTTGGCTTTGCCTGCATTTAGAAACTACAAAATTTTTGCAGCCATATTCTGTTTAGCACATGACCTTGCCTTGGCTTAATATTCGTTATTATGCATATTCAATCATGGCTATTTGACTGGTGAAGTTCTACAATATTCTTTATTATGTATATTCAGTTATGGCAGTTTGACTGGTAATGTTTTACAAGAACTTGTAACTGAGTTGCAGATTCTTTACTAAAAATGTAGAACTGCATACTTTCTGTCTTAGGTGAATAGAGGAACTGCTAGTGCCAGTGAGATATTAGCTGGGGCCCTTAAAGATAATAAACGAGCAGTCTTATATGGGGAGCCTACATTTGGAAAAGGGTAACCTATTTTTCCCTTCACTATTAAACCCTCGTATCTATCGTACTTTTAGCTTATAGTTTGCTGTCCATAGGAAAATACAGTCAGTATTTGAACTTTCTGATGGCTCTGGCTTGGCTGTCACAGTAGCACGCTATGAAACTCCTGGTCATACTGACATTGACAAGGTTTGTACTTTGCAGTTCGAAGCCACAGCTTTATTATGATATCTTTTGTATCTCTGATATTATTTGTGGTATAATATAAGTAAAATTAAGTAGTTGACCAAATCATCCAAAAATTGGATGCCATGTTCAAAGTCCGAGTATTTTAAAGATTTATCCAATTTCATCTATAATTCTAAACTGGCTCACCGGGTAACTTATTCTTTGTCAAATGGGCCATCTCACCCCTAAGTTTCCTCATGTTTTACACTGCTGGTTCTTCTCTTGTTCTTCTAGTAATGGCGGTTGTAACAAGTTGATTTTATACTGCATTGGCCGCTTCATTGTTGGATATTTTTTGTTTCCTACAACTATCTTTTAGGGCAAGTTTTAAGGTCTTCTTAGTGGCTGGTAAGTGATCCGATAGTAAATATTCTTTATGGAAAATCATATATATACTATCATATATATCTAAAGCTGATATGTGAAACCATAGAGAGATTTTTGGAATATGCAATCACTAAATTCATCAGTTTTGGCACCATGCATCTTGGCAACCTTATTGGATTCCTTGTCACTATAATTCCAGAAATGACACTAGTATTCTTACATATTCCATAATTACATAACCTTAATTGATCAAGAATGTTTTTGAATTATTCTAGTATTTTTAAAATTACTAGTATTTTGTTGATTTGATCTAGTATTTTAATTTCTTGCATTTAATTGTAGGATCATTGTTTAGTTTAAATTTGATGATATGATTTTATGACTTTATCTAGATTTAAAATTTAAATTAGTTTGATTTATATAGACAGATGAATTTTTCTCAGTTTTTTGCATCTAATTGCTTTGCATAATCTTCAAACTCACACAATTAATTGTATTCTATAACATGAAAATTATTTCTGAATCTAGTTTCATCAATTTTCACAAAAAAAAAAAAAAAATCATTCATCCAATATGTGAGAAAAACAAGAATGATCAGCAAGATTATGCTAAATATCACCAACAACCCGTGTTTTTAGTCCCAGTCGTTTGAAAATCCATGCACCTTGTAATCATAACTATCTTTATCATTAAATTTCGGAGTCATCCTTTGAGAAAATTGTGAAGCATCGATTGATGATCAAATGGTCCTAAAACTTCCTCAAAATTATCTCTTCTTAAGGTTTGCTACTATTAAATTCTCAGTTCTTCTCATTTGCATATCCAGAAAAACCATTGCAAATTCTCACAGGCACAGAAACTAGTTGTATGATCCTGCCTCCTCTCTCTCTAGCTATGGTGATCTCTTCCCTATATTGGCTTTCCGTAGTGTTAACAGGACATGCACAGCTTTGCGGGCAGACTTCTGAACTTATTGATGCAGTATATACATACATACCACTATATACTACTCTATTTACATATTTAACATCAAAAACTTTAATATTACATACATACCAACCATAGTTCATTTTCATATCAAATATGAGTGGTAGAAATGAAACATATGAGTGGTAGAAAGGGAATATGAGTGACATATATGATATTAAAATAATATAGGATGGTATATATGTAATATTAATATTTGAGTGTTAGATGTGTAAATAAGATGGTATAAAGTAATACGTATGTAAATTTCCCTTAGTTTTATTGTTTGAGTTCCCTTCAATTACACAACTCAGCTTGGTCTGTTGATTGGGAGCTTAGGCTACTAACTAAAAAGTCTTAAGTTTGAGCCTTGTGTATGTGATGTGTGTGTGAATCTGCCTTAATTGACCAAAATATCCAAAAAAAAAAGAGTTCCCTTGAATGCAATTCATTATGTTTTGTGAAGTTCCTTAATTTATTACATATTTTACCTGAATCTCTATCGAGCTCCAATCTCAAACTTTGTACCAGGTTGGAATAATCCCTGACCGCACTCTTCCTCCATCATTTCCGCTTGACGAGGATTCATTCTGTAGCTGTCTTAAAGATCCAGCCTCAGCCTGCAACCTCGACACTGCTGCTCTTTTTTCTAGGTGACTGCTATGGAACTTTATTCATCATTGATTTATTGTACTTGCAGCTTATTGTATTTGATCAGTTCCATTTGTTCTTGTTTCCTTTGATTATGTATCTGTGCCAGAAGGCTAACTTGTTAATTGAAGTACATGTATTTAATTGGATAGGATAGCTATTCAAATTTAGGCTTCGTTTGGGACAACTTTCTTAATGCTTATTAAAGCAATTTTTTAGTACAAAAATTAAAATATTTGTACTAGAAAGCTGCTTTAAGAAGAAGTAAAAAAGCCGTCTCAAACGAAGCCTTAGACTTTGTTTGGAACACATTTCTTACTGTTTTTTAAAGCAGTTTTTAAATTAATTTTTTTTTTTTTAACTAAAAAACTGTTTTAAGAAGCAAGAAGAAAGTCAATCCAAATGAAGCCTTAATATTTTAAATATTTTTGTTTGGATTATACTATTAGGTTTGGTAATATATCTCGTTAACTTGCCATTCTGAATGATTATGTTTCTCCTTCTGAAGTCAACTGGAAAATGCATTCCAATCTAATTGCTCATTTGGGCTTCTTGTGGGTATCTTTATTACTGTTTTTTAAAATAATTTTTTAGTACAAAATTTTTTTGAAAAAGAAAATTTTATATTAAAAAAGCTATTTTAGAAAATAAGAAAGTTCTACCAAACAAAATTTTAGGCTTTATTTGTAATTACATTCGTGATTAGATTTTTTTTTTTCATTCAAGTATTTTATGCAAGAGATGGTATCTATATATATATATATATATATATTGCTTCAATATTCCAGTCAATTCAAAGCTGACTCAAAAAAAGCATTCTAATCTAAATTCAGCCTTAGACTTTGTTGGGTTTTGGTTTTTGGAAGATTAATGATTTATTTTCATAAAGATGAAGGTGAAATTGTTGTAAGAAAAAATTATCTCAAATAAAATCTTAAATATCATTCAGTTAAATTTGGAGCATTGCTAAGAAAATTATGAGTAAGAGCTTTAAAACTAAAAATGTGTTATCTTAAAAGGGCTTAATGTGGATATAATTCAGATAAGAATAATGCGGACGCATAATATGAGCATGCAAATAAAAATAGAATGTATTTTTTAAGAATATATATATA